ACCCAAAGCTTAAAATACTTCACCAAGCTTCCATTACTCTAAATTATGTCAAAAATTTTGCATGTTTCCTCCTATTTTTGGATCTCAGCCACCGCCACTAAAAGAAACAAGAAGAAGAACATGAAGAGAGTAGAAGAAAGAGTGTAGGAGCTTACCCAAGAGTTGTATATCTCTTAAGGACAACAAAAGGCTAAAACTTGTAAACCCTAGTAGAGGAAGGTTCCAACCTTTAAGCTCTCTCATCCCTTCCTCACATAGACATTGTTATATTGGAGATTTTAAAAATAGAAAGCACATCAATCAACCACGGCACTCGTGTTCTCCATAATAGAAGATGGTGTAATGGGCAAGCCCATGTTAAACCATCTAATTTGGGCTCAAAGTGGTCCAACAATCCTTTATACCTAGATGTCAAGCCTCAATTAGGATTTGGTAAGACCTAAAGCCTTAGGTTAGCCTTAAATTTTCCTAATTAAATCACAATTTGTAAATCCATTCTTAAAATAACCTTAATTAAAATCAATTAAAATTCCCAGGATGTTACCAAAACCATTTAGTATATGTCAAATGTGAGAGGAAACTGAAACACCAACCAAGAATTGTCAAGTTGTCACAAATGGACTTAATGTTGATCAAATATTCCTTTATGGATAAGTTGTATTTTCTTTTATTGGTGAGAAGATTTTTGTAGTGAAGAACCTTAAATTTTAATTTGGCATAATAAATATCACATAATCAATACCAAATCTAAGCTGATGTATTAAAACTAATTAAGTTAGGAAGAATGGATTGACTAACTGTAGATAATAGCCATAAAGACAAGGCAATATCATGTTCATAAACCTTAAAAGCTAGATTTAAAACCTCTCGACCATGTTCATCTCACATCATTGCAGGTGGAACTTGTGTAGTACTATCAATGATACACTATCAAAAAAAACTACCTGATTAGCGACAGAATGTTATGTCACTAAATGAGTTAGTGATAAAATTTGCAATTATATTGCTAATTAATGATGGAATATTGATGAAAAATTTCTATCACTAGATGAGGATAAGCTATTTTGGCTTTATAATGGAATGCATTTGTCACTAATCCATCACAAATTTTCCAACAAACTTATTTCATTACTAATTTTTAGGTAGATCAAAACATCATTGCCATGTCACCCAATAGACTAAACCTCACCACCGCCTCGTCCCCTAGTAGACTAGTGTCATCTCACCACCACATCACCACCACATCATTTGTCACTATCATGTGAAAAATTATTACTTTTAATTGTGAATTGGCCACGCTTGAACCTGCAACCTTATACTCCCTGATGCCTTTGCATCCACCTTATTGTTAGTTGAGTTGAAAGGAATCTTCAATCTTAATTGATAAATTAAATATTATTTAAATTTACTTATTTTTTAATATTATATTTACTTATTAATATTTATATATAATAATTATTCCTATTATATTTTATTTTTAAAAAATTATTTTTGATAATAAATTTAATATTAAATTTAGAAATATTTTATTATCATTATATATATATTATATTATAATTTGTATCTATATAATATATAATATTTTAAATTTTTTATTTTATTTTAATTTTTAAATAAGAATAGTTAAGTATACAATTTAAATTATTATTAATAATATACAAATAATTTAAAATAATAAAATTTAAATGATAATTTTTAATTATTTATTTATAGAAAAATATTAAATTATTAAATAAATTATATATAAATATATATTATAAATAATAAAATTAAAATTAAAATAATTTGTCATTGAATTAGTGATGGAATTATGATAGAAATCTTTATAATAGAATTTTCTGTCGTAAATTCCATCATTAAATTAAAAAAGATATCTTGAAAACTATCAATAAAATTTTCCATCAGTAAATTATTTCTAATTGATTAATGATGGAATAATGATAGAATTTTAGTGACAGAAGCGACAGAATTAACCATGGATTAGCGATGAAAAATTATTTCATTGCCGTCGCTAATTTGCTTTTTTTGTAGTGATTAGGTGTAAATGATGCTACTTTACCATAAAAACAACCTTTTGCGTCTAGAGAAGAAAATTATTGTCTTCTAGAATGACATTAATTTTCTTGTTCTAAAAAAGACACAAGATTTTGAACTTCAACAATAGCAAGAACAAGGATATACGCTATAACAAAAATGAATTAGAAGTAAATAAGAAAGGGTGATGAGGTCACCAAAGTAGTGGCCTTAATACCATGTAAGGAAGAGGACAGAAAGAACATTTTGTTAAGACTTTAACAAATCTCTAACAGAACTACTAAAACTAAGTGCATATGCATTTAGGCCTAATTGGGCTTTACTTATAAATCTAAATCTATACGCTTAATAAGAAATAATTCAAGTAAAGACTATTCCTTTAACAGATCAATTCATTAATTTTTTGTTTACTTCAATACTATTTCACTTCTTTTTCTAAACTATGTTGTTAGTTATGGTTTACTCAACGTGGTTATATTAAAAATTTCTCATTTTACTCTTTTCTTATTTCTTACCGACAAGAATGAAAGTAAAGATATTGAGAATATCATTGAACATATTTGCAATATTCTAGAAAAGATGAAGTTATTTGTTGCTAACCATCCAGTGGGAATAGAATCTCGTGTGCAAGTTGTTATTCAACTTTTGAAAAAGTATTCCTCAAATGATGTTCTCCTAATAGGTATATGGGGAATGGGAGGAATTGGTAAAACAACCATTGCAAAAGCCATTTACAATAAAATTGGTCGTGACTTTGAAGGTCGAGTTTCCTTGAAAATATTAGAGAAGTTTGGGAGCAAGACAGTGGTCCAATTTCTTTACAACAGAGACTTCTTTACAATATTTATCCAACAACAAAATTGAAGATACATAGCATTGAATTGGGAATAAGTTTAATAAAGGAAAGACTTCACCATAAAAGGATACTTCTTATACTAGATGATGTGAATAACTTTGATCAACTAAATGCTTTATTTGGTAGTCATAAATGGTTTTGCCCTGGCAGTAGAATACTCATCACAACAAGGGATCAACATATACTTAAAGTCCTTAAAGTGGACTATGTGTGTAGGATGAAAGAAATGGATGAAAGTGAATCTTTGAAACTTTTTAGTTGGCATGCATTTAAGCAAGAAAGTCCTAAGGAAAACTTCACTGAACTCTCTAGGAATGTAGTTGCTTACTCAGGAGGACTTCCACTTGCTCTTCAAGTCCTTGGATCATTTTTGTTTGCCAGGGAAATATTAGAGTGGAAAGGTGTATTAGAGAAACTCAAAAGAATTCCCAATACTCAAATATAAAAGAAGTTAAAAATAAGCTTTGATAGTTTAGATTATTTAGATCAAGATATATTCCTTGATATATCTTGTTTTTTTATTGGGAAGGATAGATATGTTCAACACAAATCATGAATGAATGTGGATTTTGTGCTTATATTGGAATATCAACCTTGATAGAGCGAAGCCTTGTCACTATTGACAAGAAGAATAAGCTTGGAATGCATGACTTGTTATGAGATATGGGAAGAGAAATTATTCGTGAAACAAAACTAGACATGGTTGAGGAGTGTACAAGGCTATGGCTTCATGATAATGTTCTTTATATATTGTCAAAATGCACAGTAAGTACTATGTATTCTATTAATTTATTTCTTTTCATGAAATAAATTTCTAAAGAGGAGGAAATAAACATGAACATCGAATTGCACCATCCATTTGATTTTTATAATATAAAATTTATGGCTAAAATTCATTTGGATCAAACTCATTAATTGGTTTTATCTCTTAGTTCTGGGTTTCAGATATTAGATTGTTCTAGCTCCATCATGTCCACACAAGTTTTTTCTTCTTAACTTTAATTGTGTTATGCTTTATGTTTTATAGGGGACTAACTTTGTGGAGGGATTGTCTTTGATGCTACCAGGAACCAATGCCATTTCTTTGAGTACCAAAGCATTTGAAAAGATGGAAAGACTTAGGCTACTTCAGCTTGGTCAATTTCAATTTGAAGGAGATTATGAGTATATTTCAGAAAATCTTAAATGGCTTTGTTGGCTAGGGTCATCTTTAAGAAATACACCTAGCAAGTTCTATCAACAAAGTTTAGTTGCCATTGAGCTTAAATATAGTAATCTTAAGATAGTATGGAAGAAGCCTCAAGTAAGTACTTAAGTTTCACTTAACTTGTTCCTTTTGATCATGTTCTTTGATTTTTACTTCATAAAATTCAATCTTATAATTGTTGATTTGGCCTCCCTACCTATGTTGACAAACAACTCATTTTGACTCTTAGCAAATAAAGTGGAAAGGGTTCATATTAGGACATGAGAGAGAGGTCATATTTAAGATTGAGGTGTAGCTATTTGAGAGAGATCAAGAAGATAATTTCAACTCGTGTATAGTAAATTTGAGAAAATGGTTAATATAAGTGAGGATAGAAATTTTTATTGTATCTGTACATGCTTTAATAATTCAAAGCATATTCTCTATTTTTAATTTGTTTATACTTTTCTTTTGTGTTTCATGCAGTTAATGGAGAAGTTGAAAATCCTAAATCTTAGTCACTCACATCATTTGATACAAACTCCTGACTTTTCAAATTTACCCAACCTAGAAAGATTAGTACTCAAAGATTGTTCAAGGTTGACTATGGTTCACCATTCCATCAGACAATTCAATAAGCTTCTTTGGCTAAATTTGAAAGATTGTAAGATTCTTCCCAATCTACCAAGAAGTATATACAAGTTGAAATCTCTTAAGACTCTCATTCTCTCTGGCTGTTCAAATATTGATAAGTTAGAGGATGACTTGGAACAAATGGAATCCTTAACGACACTTATTGCAGATAATATTACTATCATAAAAGTTCCTTTCTCAATAGTAAGATCAAAAATTGGATATATATCTTTGTGTGGGTATGAAGGATTATCACAAGATGTGTTTCCTTTACTTATCTAGTCTTAGATGTCTTCAAAAACCAATCCCTTGTATCTTATTCAACCATTTGAAAGCTTATCATCTGTAATTTCCTTAAACATACCAAATTCGAGTTTCAATAGCCTATCATCTATTATAAATGAAGTTACAAAGCTTCAAAGTGTATGCGTGGAATGTGGCTCAGATTCCCAACTAAGTCAAGATGTGGCAAGAATTTTGGGTACCTTATATGCTGCAAATTATACACAATTGCTAGCTTTACCAAGTACATCTGAGATCTCATCATCAGCTTCAAGTATGGAAACTTTGGCAATAATTGTTTCTCACAATCAAACTTAAACTTCTCCAGTCTCACAAGATGTGTTGAGATATCTTTTGATTCAAATGGGAAGGAACGACCAATTCACAAGTACTCTTGAAGAAAGCATTCTAGAGGTTTGTCTTTTCATCTCACTATCATTAGTTAAAAGTATGTTTTACTTTTTTGTTGAGCACTTTTACTTAGCTCACAGGCTAATAATGCGATTAAATTGGTAATTTCAATTCTCAAAATTAACTGTTTGGTGTGATAGGAAAAATAAAAATAAGTATAACAAAATGTCTTCATTGATTGCATCGTTTGGTCTATACACTATTTGCTACACACACGCACACATATAGGAAGAGGAAATACACGTAAGCAAATAAAATGATAATGCATAACAGAATATACTAGAATAAGTTTAAATGTAAACAAGACAAAAACACTATGTTGTGGCAGTAGTAAAAAGGCCAAAAGTAGGCTTTGACATGGCTTATGTTAATATGTTCTGTCATCCCCCATGAGGCATAAGGAACTATAGTGGCTGTGAGGATCGAGTTGGGAGTTGTGAAGATAGAAATGGGAAGAACGTCAGTGAAAATATCTACAACTTGGTCCTGTACTAAAGAAATAATGGAAATGCGGAGGTTCTTAGAAGTTATTCGCTCACAAATAAAATGATAATCAAGATCAATATGTTTAGATTATGAGTGAAAAACTGGATTGGCTGCTAGATATGTTGGTCCAATGTTGTCACATTAGAGAAGAGGTTCTTGACAAAGAGAAATACCAAGTTCACCAAGTAATGATTGTATCTAAATGACATCATAGGTAGCAATAGCTAGTACTTTGTATTCAGTCTCTGTACTTGATCTTGCAGCTATAGGTTGGTTCTTTGAATTCTAAGAGACAACATTGGAGCCAAGAAATATAGAAAAACCAATGGTGGAATGTCTGTCATCAACACATCCACCCTAATTGGCATATGAGACAACAGTAATAGTGAAAGAAGTGAAAGAGCGAATGAGCAGGCCATGATTTTGAGTACCATTAAGAGACCCAAGAATGCACTTGACAACAAACCAATGAGGTTGGTGAGGTTCATACATAAATTATGAAACACAATTCACAAAGGAGATGTGATGCAGAACAGGAAAGGGAAAAGGGAAAATAAAATATAGAAGAGAGAAAGGGAGTAGAGATAATATAAAGAGAAGAGATAATTGGATAGAGAGGAAAGAAATTCAAAGGTGGCAACACGATAGTAATTCTTATTCAATAATAAGCGTATACAAATCAAATGAGTTGAGGTACTATTTATAGGTATTTATCTAACCTTAGAAATAAATGCATGAAAATTTTAAAAAATCTAAAATTAAATAAAAAGATAACAATAAGTACTCACAATAACAATAATTCAAATATTATGATAATTAAAATAAAATATTTTTAATTAATAAAATATTTTAATAAAATATCTTCTATCTTCCAATCTTCTCAAATCTTATTAGTTCTTGTTCTTTTTTTTCCCCCAACAAGATGTTATGACAAGTGAAAACTAGATATTGGGCCCATTTGTTTTAGCTTATTTTTAGAAAAAATCACTTTTTTTTTTAAAAAAGTATTTTGAGTTTTTATGATATTTGTTTAAATTTTTAAAAATAATCAAAATTAAAAAAATATTTTTGATTATTTTAAAAAGTTAATTTGAGTAACTTTTAAAAATAATATAATACGATAGATTAGAGAGAATGTTCTAAAAATGCAAGAAAATTGAAATATATCATTAAATTTTAAAATAATTAAATAATGAATCATGTTTATAAAACATAAATCAAAAAATATATTATAAAATTTATAAATAACTAATTAATAATTGTTTTTTTATTATTGTAAGTAAACATGAAATAATTTAATAGGAAAAGTCCGTTGCAGGGCATTAATGAAATTATTAGAAGTAGCAGTAGAGGAAGAATTGACAATGATAATATCATGGGCATAAATGAGAAAATAAATAATTGTAGCACCAAAATTGAAAATGAAGAGGTAACCATCGGACTTCGAAGCTTTAAAACCAAGCTCAAATAAACGAGTGCTGATCCGTAAGAACCAAGCTCTAAGAGCTTGTTTTAAGCCATAGATAGCATGATTGAGCTAGTTTGCAAATCAAATGAGGATAGTTAGGATGAACGAAGCCAGGAGGCTGAGACATAAACATGTTCAGTGAAGAAAGGCACTTTTAATATCAATTTAATGAACAGACCAGCCTCAAGAAACAAGAGATAAAACAATTCGAATGGTAATAGGCTTAACAAGAAGAGAAAGTATCTGTAAAATCAAGACCTGCTTGTTGATGAAAACCTCTGGCTACAAGACAAGTTTGTAACAATCAATACTACCACCTGGTTTGTGTTTGAGACGAAAAACCCATTAATTTGTAACTAAGTTATGACAGGAAGAAGGAGGAACGAGGGTTCGGCATTCATGGCATCTCTTCATTCTGGATATTTTAAGGCTTCAGTAACAGTAGACGAAGCTGCTGGAGGAGATATGGTGACAAGCATTGTACGAGGAGGTGGCCATGGAATAGTACGTTCCATCAGTGAATTTCTTTGAACGATTCTGGTGTGATAATTACTGATTTTGAGGAGGAGAGGGCCAAGATGAGGTAGTGCTTGAGGACAAAGAAGAAGTGGAAATGGAGGAATGATCCAAAAATCCATGGGAAATAATAATTTGGGCTTTTATGAAACAATAATTCAAAAGGAGATTTGTTGCCCAGTGAAGAGGAAGGAAGTGAATTGATGAGATAAGCAGCTGTGGAAAAGGCATAAACCCAAAATGCTTGAGGTGGAGAAGAGTGATACATTAAAGCTAAGCCAAGTATCAATAACATGTCTGTGCTTTCTTTCAACAGTATTCTCTTGAGAGTGAGCATTGGAACAAGAAATTCTATGAGCAATGCCAAAAATTAAATAAAAATTAAAATTTTATCGAGGCCTTGAAATTAAACTCTCTAATCAAATTGATGAGCTTTAATTTTCATGTTAAACTGATTTTTAGCAAGCTTTTTAAATTGAAGAAAATAATCATAAACTTCATCTATAGTTTTCATAGGAAAAATCCAAGTATATCAGCTATAATCATCCGCAAAAGAGACATAATATATAGAACCAGATAAAAGAAACAACAAAAGAGGGACCCTATACATCATTGAAAATTTTAAATCTACAAGACAAAAAGAACGATTGGGGGAAGAGGGATAAGAACGATCTGGATGACTTGTGTTCGGCAACATGAGCAATGATGTGTTCAGAAAGAGAGGAAATGATAACTGAAAGAATGAGTTGCGTTGAGCAAACCATTTGTGATGATCAGTAATGATAGCACTAGAAGGAAGAAGAATAAAGGGAGGAGGGACAGAGCCATTAATGTACCCTGAAACTACTTGTCCTTAGAGATAAGGAAGCATTTGGGCATGCCAATGAAATAGTTGTCTTGAGTGAGCTTAACAGCAACAAAGTGAGGAAGGTTAGTGATTATGATGGAGGAAGAGGAAGAAGTTACGACATTATTGGTGGTGGATGAACTGGCGTTGGGAGTATAGGAAGTTGTGGTATTTGATGGGTTACTAAAGGTGAAGGAAGGGTTTCTAGGGAATGGAGCTCTAATACCATGATAAGGGAAAATGAAAATAGCAAAACAAAGTTTCTTCATTGATTGCATCATATCATATGGTTTGTAATGTGTGTGTGTGTGTGTGTGTGTAGGAAGAGAACGACAAAGCATAAAAGAATATACACTACAATAAGTTTAAATGTAAACAAGACAAAAACACCATGATGTGGCAGTAGTATCAAAAGGTCAAAAGTAGGCTTTAAGATGGCTTTATGTTGGTGTGACCTATCATGGTAAATAGGTGAGCATAGTTTTAACTTTTAACCATGAAATTGTTCATTATTTTCTATTGCAATGAAGATTAATTAAATATATATATATATATATATATCACTGACTGATTACAAAGTTCCATATAAAAGCTTGTAGAATGACAAGGGGAAGAGCTAATCTATTGCATCTCGGGCGGAGGGAGGGGACTACCGAAGTTTTCAATTTTTTTTTCTTTGTATTATATAGATGTTACATACTTTTGGTTTTTCCAAAAATTTATAAAAATTTTGTAGTATATATATTTTTTAATGTCAACCCTCTTATTTATTGTTATATAATTTGAGAGAATTTTGATGGTGTGCAGAATTTCAGAAGCTGTGGGTCTGATGATTTTTGTCTTCCAGGCGACAAACTTCCTGATTGGCTAACCTTCATTGGTGAAGGAGCTTCAGTAATTTTCCAAGTGCCTCAACAAGTCAGTGGTTATAATCATAACTTGAGAGGAATGGCTTTGTGCCTTCTTTGGTTGTCTTCTCAAGGAAACATAACATCAGATCATATAAATAATGTTTTGATCATAAACTACACCAAAACTACCATACAGCTCTACAAGCGAGACTCACTAACTTCCTTTGAAGAGTTAGATTGTGAAAGCCATATTTCAACTCTGGAAGCTGGTGATAAAGTTGAAGTTATGGTAACTAGTGGGGATGGACTCACCGTAAAGAAGACAGCGATTCATCTGTTTTATGGTTCACCAATTCAAGAAGCAATAATGGAGATTTCACATCCTGATCAAGATAATTTTTCTTTGGATGTTAGAAATCCAGAAAGGGTTAAATCTAAGAGTAGAATATTTAACCACAAGAAGCTTTTCAAATTCTTTCAAGAATGTTTTAGGAAGTAGATAATTTTATAAAATTTCTTCTGATATTAATCCATTTATTTGTATTTGTTTGTTTTTCAATATTTTCTGCATGATCTTTCTCTTTGTTCCGTCCCCTTTTTCTTCAATTTTATGTGACATATATTTTGTTAATTTGAAGGCCCAGCATGGAGGGTTGTAATGGTTCATGCATGCATGTTTGTTGAAAAATGAACATTATTGGATGATTTTCCTTCATTTTTAAGTTAAAGAGGCGTACTTTAAGTTAATTATTACTTACTCTGTTTAAAAATATAAAATATTTTTTTTTTGAGTTTAGATATTTAAAAATATAAAATATTTTTCGTTTTTCAATATAATAAATTATTTTTAAAATATTCTTCATAAATAAATCAGTTAACTCTTCACATTTAAGTGAAGCATCCTATCTAATAAAGATAAATATAAAAAAAATGATATCAATTTAAAGATAAAATAAATATACAAACAATGAATGTGGCAAATGTGATTTGAAAATAGGGATCTAAATGGGTCAGAAGTCTAATGTCCCCTCCCTGGATTGGGATAAGATTCTCTCCTCTTCTTTTTTCATCATCTTCCCTTCGTTTTCCTTTCTAATTAATAGATTAAGATTTTGACATTGCATTTTTAATCTCCTATAAATTTATTATTAAAATATTAAATTATAAAAAATAAATGATAAAATTCAAACTACTATGCTAAAATTTAGTATGGAAAATTAAAAACTACGGTAAAAACTAAATAAATTAAATATTTTATAGAAGACTAAATTTAAACCATCCAAGTCTTGATCTAATGATTAGAAATAAGGAAGAAGAGGGTAGGGATAAAGGAGAGAATCCTCTCACCAGAGTGGGAGGATTTGGGGGAAGGATGAATTTAAATATAACTATTTCACCTAGTAATTTTTTTTTTCCCTTGATATTTCAACCTTGTCCATAGTAGTATAGGATCATCAGATATAAGACACGAAAATCTCCTTACTTATCTTCTCTGCTCTTTATCTATCGCCCCCTTCTGCTCTGTTTTGGCAATCAGATTTCAAGAGTCTGATTTTATCAAACTCTGTACAACTAGCTGTGAAAGTGTATAAATGCTTTCTCATATGCTTCCTTATATATATGCATGTTGTAACTAAAATATTCAAAGGTGCCACTTACCTTTATTGCTATTCAGTTTTTGCTGCAAGTTTTTGGTAGTTGTCAAGGAGACTTTTTTTTTTTTTTTTAATTGTTATCTCACTTTTTTTGGCATTCATTTTTATATTTGTAATACTCATTTTTCTTTTTTTTTTTCAGCACTTATTTTTTTAAGTACTGAACATATTATGGCATTAATGGATTCCATACATGCATAGATAATAATGAGAATATAAATATTAGGCCACTAAGTCTTCCTATTTACTGAATCTCCGTCCCCTAATAGATCCTCAAGTAATGGCATCAAAGCATGGGCATGATGGCCTTTTCTACTAATGTAACTCGGAAAAAGGAGTGCTGTTTGAAGACACCGTTCTACACATTAATCTCTGGTATAAAAATTCATTCATTAGTATGGCTTCAGGGAAGGTTGAACAAGTTTTTGCAATTATGGCATTTGCCACAATACTAAAAGCAGGATTGTTTAGGAGCCAATCTTTTGTTTCAGAAAATCCAAGGATTTCATTCCCTAGGAGAAATATTATTTATGCAATATTCTGTAGATGGAGAAATATACCTATTCCATTTTCTTTTTAAATACATTTCTCATTTTCTCTCTAAAAAACACTTTTTTCATGTACCAAACATATATTAAAGCTTACACGGTTCATTACCATTGTTTCACCACTTCCAAAACAACTTTCTACATTTTTTCATCAAGGGATTAGTGGTATTCCTAAACCAGAATCAGCATAGCTCCCTCAGTACAATAGCAAGCATATGTAAAGCTTCCACCAATGGAATTGATGGAATCATAAACATATAGTAGACTTAGTTTGGATGGAAGGAAAAGTAGAGAGAAAAAATAAGGAGAGAAAACTAAGAATATTTACTATTTTTGGAAATTTTCCCTCAGTTTTCTTTCCTCCCTATTTTTTCTCCTCATCCAAACAAAGGTTATGGTTCAAGAAGCTTGCACATTTTCGTTGTTTTTCTGGGTCTACTTAAAGGTACCTCCTCTTCATCATCACATTGGAATGCCTTAGACTCGACCCTTGTAATTTCATGTCTGCTAGAAGAAACAACATTCTTATCAGGTTCTTGGGTAGGCACTGTGTTTTCTTCCATTGATTCAGCATATATCAGATACATTGCTGTCTTCTTTACAGTGAATCTGTACCCAAAAACTACAATAACCTCAACTTTGTCACCAGGTTCTAACTTTGATGTTATGTCCTGCCATTCTTCATCCCCAAAGGATGTTAGTGTTTCTCGCTTGTAAAGCTGAATGGTGCTCTTGCTGAAATTTATTAACAGAACACCAACTGGATATCCAAATGCTACTTTGTTCAGGAAAGACGAATATATAATGCACAAAGTCATCCCTCTCAAGCTATAGCCTGTAAGATTTGGAACTTCAAAAAATACTGAAGGTCCTTCATCCTTGTAAGATAACCAATAAGGATACTTGTCACCAGGGAGCAAACAATCACCAAACCTGTTAGTAGTTAATACCTGCACCATGCTGTAAATGTGAGCGCTTATTTAACTTTTGATGACTAAACTAATCATGTATTCTTAAGAGACAGACAGGTGCTGCAAAAATTATATACAGTCTATTTGACTGAGCAAATCTAATGGCAAGCTTATATCTCCGGCAGTTGAAGAAGTAATTCCCTTTTTTTATTTGATATTGTTAATAACTGTACTGAATAAAAATTGAGAAATCAATAGTAATTTATTTTAGATAACAAAGTAGTTAATGTTTTAAATGCTTAATCTAATCTTAAATTAATAACACCAAATAAAAAAGCATACAAACAAAACAAAGAAAACAAACCCAACATCACATATATCTCAAATATACCAGAAGGAGTTACATTCCTTTACTAAATTTGGTTCTTCGAAGATTAAAAAATGGTAGCATTGAATGTCAATATTACAACAACACGTTGTCCCTTTAGATTATAGGTATTTCTACCATAGGCTTTAACTCCTGTACTTGCTCTTTTAATTATGGGGAGACCAAGATCTTATTCCATAGAATCCAATAGGAGGGAGACTGTTCCACGAGAAAAAATGCTAATGAAGTGTGGAAGGATGATATAACAAATACAGGTAGAATCCTATATATACTTGCCTAGGTACTTTTATTACTTATTATGTGAATGCATTGTGGATATATCTATTTATGAACTTTGAAGATGATTGCCACAAACACAATGATCTAGTACCTTTAGCTTTTATATGCGCACCGCATTTCATACAGACAAATATCTACACAGCCTCACGTCCCAGTAAACCGTTGTCCTCTATTTCAGGAGTACTGAAAAGTGAAAAGCCATAAATCCTAAAATAAGGGCAACACAACTCTTGAGGACCTTTTGGCAACTTTCTAGGGAATAAAATCTATTCTTCAACAAAAAGAATTGCACAACTGTTAAAAATTCCTAAGAATGCATGATCTAACAACTAAAATAAGCACAAATTTCATTTTATATCCCAGATGGAAGAAACAGACATTATGTTATGCACTTTAAGATGGGTACAATTCTAACCCTGTATAACTGCATATAAAGGTAGACTGACAAATAGATGGAATGAAGAGAGAAAGATGATGGTCAATGATTATTAACCTGCGAAATTGCCTCACTAAGAGTTATTGTGACTTGGCTGCTCTGTCCCATTTGAATCAAAATGGATCTCAAGGAATTTTCCGAACTTGAAATGTGAAACTGATTGCCACAAGGAGTTGAAGTAGATGTTTCCATGCATGAAACTTGTGATGCATTTGGGGTTTCCAATTCAACACCATTTGTGGCGTATATTGAATCTAAAACTCTTTCTATATCTTGAGTAAGCTGTAGCTCTGAGAAGGATTCAATCTGAAGGCTTCGAGTCTTTGAAAGGCCAGTAAGCAGTGATGGTAGATCATGAAAACTATTAGCTTGTGCTTCTGAAGAAACGAGAGATGACATGCTCTTAGACGCTTGAACAAAGGACAAGGGATTATTTGTTGGTGACATCCATGACCAAATGAGAGAAGGAAACACATCACCTGTTAAACCTTCAAAGCCACACACAGATATATACCCAATGTTTTTCAATCTTACAATTGAATAGGGAACTTGTCTTATTGCTGTGTTATTTGCAATCAGAGTAGTCAAAGATTGCACCTGCCCTATGTCTTCCTCCAACTTATCAATCTTTAAACAATCAGACAGGAGGAGAACCTTCAAAGATTTTGACTTATAGATCGTTGTTGGGAGATTAGTAAGGCTTGTGCAGCCCTTCAAGTTTACCAAAGTAAGATTTTTTAGATCTCCAATGGAGTGGTGCACCATAGACAAACTTGAACAATATTTGAGTATTAGAACTTCAAGATGAGGCAGATTTGAGAAATCAGGAGATTGGATCAAGTAAAAGGAATGACTCAGATTGAGGACCTTCAACTTGCTGAGCAACTGCATAAAAAAGTGATGCAGACCTTAAGCTTCAATTATCATTTTGTTAAAAACGGAAAATCAAACAAATTACATCCCCAAAGGACCAAACTGCCTCACAAGGAAAAAAGTTATGCTGTAAATCTATCATGTGATAGTCTGGTGGCACATTCTCTCATGTAAAATTATCCTAATTACTTCGATTTAAAAACCACTCAAAACACCCCCATGGACCTAAATTCATAAGTCATGAACTACTCAAAAGCTTAAACACCATAGAACAATCCAAATTAGAACATAAATTCAAAATAATTCAGAAATACTGAACCCTAAGTCATGGCAGTCAAACTTTTTAATATCTCACACGAAACTAAATGTGTAATCAGGATAAACTTTAGAGATGAAGGGTTCTTCCAACACACGTCTATCACATGCGAAAAACTTTAAAATTCAAGAACAAGTAACAAATACAATTGTGAAAGAATTGGACTGTG